CAGATGCGGGAGGGGGGGGGGGGTTCTGAGGATGGGGCCGTACCAACGTAAGCGACGCATTCTAAGGACTATGTGGCAATGATTGTCAGACAATCAGGGCAGCCAGACATACTCCAAATTTCGCGGTTTCTGGTGTGCGACAAAGGCGATATTTGCAACATCCCCCGTATACACTTGTTGTAAAATGCACAGTATTTCTCCGTCTCGTCTTCGCTAAGGGTAAAGCACTCGATAGCATATAATAATACCGAGAATACCACACTTCGGAGAAAAATAAACTTCTGCCTCAGGCTTACATCATGCGAGTTCCAAACTTTCTGGAGTCATGCCATTCTTTGCCCCGCGAGTTGTATGCGCCTACGAATGTGGGTTTCATTATCCCGCTTGCCGTCCATTATGGCACCGAGTACACTGAATTTATCAGTGCATTTGATCCTGGACTTTTCCGAGCTGCTTCCCTTACTCTCCAGGTTAATGCACAGTTGTGCTGGATTCAGCGGATTTCGTTAATGAGTAGTTAGAATGTTGTAGTCACTCGAAGACACAAAAGATTGTCCTCTATAGTTGTCTTATAATTGTGATGTAGCTGTGTATCTAGCGTCAAGCTAGTATGTTAGTCTGCTACGATTGAACTTCTATAGATCTTGAAGCTGTTATTAATCTTACGTTCTACGTGAGATCAGACGGGGTTTCGTTAACTCAAAGGATATTGGAAAACTGTCATACAGTCTCTTGCACTTCTCCGGTGCTACCACGAGATTCGCAACTTTTCCGTCTTCCTCGAGATACGATAGCTGACGGTCAGCTCCTTCGATTGTGGAGGCAGGTATTGTAACGTCGTCGGCAAAACTTGAGTTGTTGAGACATAGTCCGAGATCCTGCTTCCGGATACTGAGTCTGCTGTAGCGTCCGGGCTGTATCTCCTTGACTAACCGAAATCCGTAATACGGACTTCGTAACCCGACTCCCTTATCCTTTGGTTGAGGATACGGTCCGAACCGCAGATATAGTGGGGGACTTCAGCAGTCACCTTGTCGCAGTCCGCCTTTGAGCTCGATTGTCTGCTCTCTCTTGTGTAACCTTATTGTAAGTTTTGACGATTCATGGCAATTTTTTTACAATCCTGATGTACTTCGGATGCACTCGAGCCAAACGCAGAGATCCATACACATGATCTCGAGATATATTGTCAAAGGCCTTTCTGGAATCAGTACTGGTCAATGTCAGTGGTAGTTTGGAAGCATTACACTTGTCTATCAATAATTTTAACGCGTGTGTCACTTCTGGGCCGGATCTCCCGCGGCGGAAGGCCACTTGAGAGTTATCAATTTTTCTGTCAATATCGGGGTAGATCCTTACGAATATAATAATGCTCAAGATCTTTCCTGTAGGCTACAGGCAATGTGCTACAGGCTGTAGCACATTGTGCTAATATAGTACGATAGTTCGAGCAATCGGTTTTGTTCCCCCTCTTATATATCAGCGTAATTTTCGAGATATTCCATTGCTCTAGTAGTCTCTCGGCTTCAAAACAGGCTTGACATACCCTCTGTATGCTCTTTGCCACTCCGATTGAATCGGACCGATTCCGATCTTGAAAACTTCTGCCGCCGGCAGACTGCCGATAAACCATCCACGCCGCTACTTTTCTTGTTCTCAAGACGTTTTATGGCTTCTGTAACCTCATAGATCTTACGTCTGGTGGTGCGGGCTCATGATCTTCATTTGGGACAGTTATGGCCATCCCGTCTGTTTCGTCATAGCTTTCATAGTCAACTGGGTCATCGCCGATGACTCATCGGCATATAGGACCATGCGCACCATGCGGTCCCTGCCACATAGAACCTTCGGCGCATTCGCAGGTTCTCCCACTGTATACACACCTCGCACCATATTCGGGCTTGGATTGAGCTCTAATCCGAAGTATGCTTCTATCATGAATCAGCTCACGAAGCTCGAGCCCAAGGTCGTGAGAGAGAACACATTCTCTCTCTATTTAAAGCCCAAGACCCCTAGCACAGGGATTTACGAAGGCGAACTTCTTCTAGGTGGAGGAGATCCCAAACTATACGAAGGAGAGCTGAGTTATGTACCCGTCGAAGCCCAGGCCCCTTGGACGGTGAAGCTGAAGGGTGTAGAGATTGTTACTGGACAGATCACACCTTACAACGAAAGAATATTTCTGGATACTGGAACCAACTTCATAGTATTCCCGATTTCTCAAATAAATAAGCTTATCGACGATATTGCCAAGCAGGCCAGTGATAACGCCAAGGAGAAGGTTGAGATTATATACCACGAGTCTGTTAAAAGATGGACATACGACTGTACCTACCGCGAGTACCTGCCGACGCTCA